TTCTTTGAGGAGTCCTTGTCCAGAAAATACGCATATGCACCGTCGAGGATCGAACCCTCGACCTCTCGGTTACTAGTTATCAGTGTTACCATTAGGCTATCATAGTCCTGGAGTACCAGTGACCGCCCGCGGGGACGCCCGGGGTTGGAGCACATCACGGTGATGCGAAGGAGACGCCGTCTCCGCATACAACTTTATTCAGAAAATAGGAGGACAGAATTTTTAGGGGGATAAACAGATAAACCACTCTTTTTGACAGTAACACTTTGCCCCTGCTTGTGGAAATCACTTGTTTGAGCTATACTCAGATCCGCATAGGTGTCCTTCTGTAGCTCCCATGGTATTTCCGCCATCTGCTTCATTCTGGGTGTGAGCCCCTTGGTTATGTTCTCCACATGCTGTAGGATTGTTCTAGCTGACACCCCACTGGTGTTGCCCAGTACCTTAGCAAGTAGTTGAGTTGCTACGTCTGTCATCGTACTTCTTTGCTGTGGTGTAAAGGGTATCTCTCTCCAGAGGTACAGTAGGTGCGGTAGTATGACAGCACAGGCGCCGGTAATCCTTACCCTTGCAGCTAGCATTGAGGGTGGTATAGTTTTGACCGTATCTGCGAAAGTTGTGGCAGCTGCTTTCGCCTTTCTTATTCTGGCATCGACTTCGGGGTTCATGTTGAGCTTGTTGTCCAGTAGTATCCCCATCCATTTTACAGTGCGGATCTCCGTTGTGTCCATGTCTAAAGTAAGCTTTGCGGTCTTCTCATTGTTCTGACGCATTCCATAGTCGGATGCTGTTTGCTGATTGACTTCGATAATGGTCTGGATATGTTCTGGGTTGTCTACTATAATAGCTTTGTCATCGGCGTACATGATGGCACTGTAATTCACCCACTTCGGTATCTTTCCTCTGCATTTCTGCTCTCTTTCGGCTTCAACTAAGTTGAAGAGTGAGGTACTCAAGGTGCAGCCTTGCCTTATTCCATTTCTAAGCAGGAAAGGTTGGGCGAACCTCTTTGCCCACTGTATTCTGACTTCACAGTCAACATATTGGTCTCTGACGAGATTGTATTCCTTAGCTGGCAGCCCAGTTTTCTTGAGGGCAGCAAACAGTGCGGCGTGGTTAACAGTATCAAAGGCTTTTGATAGGTCGAGTAGCAGTAGTGTCTGTCCTGGTTGTTTCAGTTTTGTGAAGAGTTCTGTGATGGCCGTAGCGGTGCCTCTTCCTTTCCTGTAAGCGTGTTGTTGCGGTAGCAGCTTGTCTTCAATATACGGTGTGATGCTCTCGAGTATGACTTGGTTGATTATCTTCATTACTGTCGATGGTATGGTGATCGGTCGTGTGTTTTGAACCGTGGTTCTCGAGTCTTTTTTGGGTATTGGTTTAACCTTCATGTCTACCAGCTGTCTGGGGATACTCGTGTGCCGCCAGATCAGCTCCGTTAGTTGTTGGATGTCTTCGACGGGTATCTGGTCAACGTATTTAGCGGGTATTCCGTCCAGTCCGGTTGCAGCTTTCCTATTTGTTGCCTTGATCGCCTTTAAGATTTCGCGCGTAGTTGGAGGGAAGCCCTCGCCAAACTGCGATTCAGTCCGTTTGGGGATATGCTTTCCATCAGCATGACTCCATCGGTCCTGTAGCATCTTCGCCAGCTGTCTTCTGGCCTCTTCCGGATTCAGGTCATTACCTTCATCGTCCATTAAAGTTAAGCCCTCCTGTCCGTTGCACCTCCTATATTGATCCCACAGCAATTGGTTCTGAATTGGTAGATGTATTTTTACTGGTATCTTGCGAAAACGTTCCTTGAGTTCGTTACGTAGTTTCAGCCATGCCTTTGTAGTTGGCTTATCGGCGTCACGAGTGATGAGTCCGGCTTTCGGCCGTTTTGCGTGGTAGCTGATTTGGTTTAGCGTCCATTTGACCGTTAGTATCGCATGGTCAGCAGGTGCATTCTCCCAGTCCAAGTGGACTACATTATCCTGCGCTTGGCAGGTATCCTCACTGAT